GAATTGGTTGGAGAAGGCATTCGTGTCGTCCTTGTAGGGGTAGGTGGAGTCAAGCAAACTGGGGAGCCACACTCACTTTGTTGTAGTTTCCAAACGAGTTCCTCATTTTCCATTGAAAGGCGTTTCTTTTCCGTTGACTGTTTGTCTAACGTTTCCTTCAATGCTCTGTGTTCGGATGATAATTGTCTGCAAGATACGTCAAAGAATTTGTCAAAAACATCATGATTTGTTCATTCATGTTTATCAGATTTCTTGATGAGATAATAATCAATTCGACATTTTTTACTGTTCTAGTGACAAAATACACCTTGTATTTAAAAACTGGTAGAACTTCTAAAATTCAGAATTGAACACCAATACATTACAGAAATTAAATAAAAAATTTAGGTACCTCTCTAAATCGGCTTTCCTTCCAACAATTGCTTTTAATTCTTCAATACGTCGTTCATATCGTTTTATCTTTTCTTCATGTTCAGGAATCACTTCAAGCTATTAATGCAAACAAAATAAAATAAATAAGAAATCCGGAAAATGATAATGATTAGTCAACACTGCCTTAACATAAACGTAGGTGGTCATTCTGATCCCACACATTATTTTGATATTTATATACTGTACAGGTTTATATTTTTTCAAACCTACTTTACATTTTCATGCGCATAAAGGTGACATGACAATATGTGCCTTATATCTCCACCATTATTATTATTATTACAACAGCACACATGCACACAATATATAGAAACACAACAGAAACATACATAGACACAACAGCAACACACAAGGGCACAATACATAGAAATATAGCAGTAGTATACATAAAATATGCAAAACTACAGCAACACACAGGATCAAAATATTTAACTAAATATAATTATTCAACATTATTGTCAAATTAAAAACATAATTACAAATAAGGATAACAATACAACTTAATTTATTAACAGTTAGGTTGAAAGCTATTGAACATTTTCAGCCTATTTTCAGCAAGAAAAACCAAACTATTTGCAAACACATTCATCTCACTATACAATCAATGGCGTCATTCTTTTTTTTTTTTTTTATAGAAATGATGTCATTCATATAAAGATGTCTTCTCAAACTCAATTGTAATCATTACAATCCACACACAAAAAGTTTCAACAGAATAATACCAAAAGGTCAATGACCTAAATTGGAGGTCAATAACCCCAGATCATTATATCAATAACCTAAACAATATTCATTCTCAACAAAAACTCATCACTACTTGCCCAAAACTCAGTGAGCAACTACACTTTACTTGCCCCATTAATCACTAGAATCAATCTAGGCAACCGCTTGCCCTCTACCACACCAGACTGCACCTGATACTCATTGGTGAAGCAATCTACTCAGCCCATATACAACATTTGGCTTCCACATTATATAAAGTACAACATTTTGCTGTCATATTAAATAAAGTACAATTTTCTTTCCTCATTCCTGAGACACAACCTACACCTTGAACACTTTACCTCACATTGCCAACACACACTCAGTTACCATATAATCTTATTATGGGATATCAAAACCCAGATTTAGTGTTCAGGATACACAGTGCTAAAACAGATTACATTCCAATACTTAGTTTGTGAAAAGAAAGTATAATACATACTCCACGTATTGAAATACTTGTTGGGATTCAACATTTCAACATTAATTATGTCATCATCAGATTTATTATTATACTTTCTTATCTGAGATTAATCAGTGGACCTTTCGGTATTTTGTGAAAAGTAGCAGAATACTAACTATTCCACCTGATATACGTAAACTGGAGTTGAGTCGAGAAATGATTAAAGTCATTAATTGGTCCACACTAATTGGTTATTTTTGAAAGCTAAATATTCATTAGTTGTTCTGTAATGTAAGTATACATTCATTGTTTGTCAACAAAATTGCATCAAGTTGAGTTGAAATATTGTAGGATTAAAAGTTGATTTTGTCTTCCCATATGAATGCTGTTTCCTAGTTTCTGCTGTCTTTTCCTATAGGGTGTATGTAAACAGTCCCTCCGCTTTCCTATAGGACTGTATTTTCCGACAGTCCCACGTTATTAATACGGGATTTTGTTTCAACAATATACCTACAGAATTATATTCCCTTTGTGTAAAACTTGACTACAAATTCCTCAAAGTTTTATAAAGGTTTTGAATTTCAAAATGGTGGATGACTTATTTATTCATCCGTCAATTTAAACTCTGGTCCATCTTCTGTTCATACGACATGAACACGTTATCGTGACTCTCCGATGAGCTTAAACGTAACAGATTTGTGCGACTAAATGAATTGGTTGGAGAAGGCATTCGTGTCGTCCTTGTAGGGGTAGGTGGAGTCAAGCAAACTGGGGACCCACACTCACTTTGTTGTAGTTTCCAAACGAGTTCCTCATTTTCCATTGAAAGGCGTTTCTTTTCCGTCGACTGTTTGTCTAACGTTTCCTTCAATGCTCTGTGTTCGGATGATAATTGTCTGCAAGATACGTCAAAGGATTTGTCACAAACATCATGATTTGTTCATTCATGTTTATCAGATTTCTTGATGAGATAATAATCAATTTGACATTTTTTTACTGTTCTAGTGACAAAATACACCTTGTATTTAAAAACTGGTAGAACATCTAAAATTCAGAATTGAACACTAATACATTACAGAAATTAAATAAAAAATTTAGGTACCTCTCTAAATCGGCTTTCCTTCCAACAATTGCTTTTAATTCTTCAATACGTCGTTCATATCGTTTTATCTTTTCTTCATGTTCAGGAATCACTTCAAGCTATTAATGCAAACAAAATAAAATAAAAAAGTGATAATGATTAGTCAACACTGCCTTAACATAAACGTAAGTGGTCATTCTGATCTCAATGTTTGAGTTTGAAAGTTATCAATATTTGTAGCCATCAAACTAAAGTACTTCCAATGATCACAACACTCCCTTCATTCTATAAACCCCTTACAATCTGTCACAACACCCTTCCCCTCATTACACCCCCTTACCTCTTTTTCTAATTCCATTTTTTGCCTTCGTAAATCATGTACATTTTGTTCCTCAGCTCCAGCACTGTTTTCAGGCTTTCAACCTCCTTTGGTAAATGTTTATATTGAGCAATCGCTGCCTGTTAACAAAGCCATTATAAAATTAATATTAAATCACAAAAACAAAAAATACAATACATATCAGCAAACATTTGAGACAACATATCGGGAATGATAACTGGAATATATTTTTAGAGAGGTTCCTGAACACTAACAGTACATAAACATTGGTATTGCTTTAAAAATTATCAACCATAGAGGAAAAAAATCTAATTCATTTCTTTCCTCCATGTATTAACTATCACACTGATCACGTTTAAAATTCCATGATCCTAATTATAATCACATGATCCAATCAAACTCCTTTAATTTAAAAATTCACCTGAAGTTTCTCATCCGAGTCTTTTTGAAGGACATCCTCGAGCATCTTACATTTGTGTCTTAATCGTTCACATTGAAATTTTAAATTGAATGCGTCATTTTGGAGCTGGCGTTCCCGATTCTCTGCAGCCATTCTTTTCTGCTCTTCTTCAATTTCGAACTCATTCCTCATTTTCTTTGTTGCAGCTGCATTTTCTTCTTGGAGAAGTCTTTTTTCATCAGCATACTTTGTTTTTAATGTTTCAGTCAGCTGATCATTCTGCTCAGCTTGGTCAGATAACTGAACAAATGAAACATACAATTACATGCCTAAATATGGTCATGATGACGTCACATCATGACCATATATAAGCACGTCATGACTATATATGGATATACAATAGTTTTTTTTTTTTAATTTAATAGTGGGGATAGGCAGAGCTTTATAATATTTTCTTACTAGGAAGAACTCAAAAATTAGTACTTATTTAGAAATTAGACTAAGAATGGGAGATAGCCAACAGAAGGAATGTGTGCTTTAGTACAAGGAATGGGCAACTGGCAGGGTGACAGCCAGTAGAGGGGGTGATAGACAGGACAGGGGATGGGTGACAGCAAGGACAGGGGATGGGAAACTAATAGCCAAGACAGGAAATGGGTAACACTAACAGCCAAGACATGGAATGTTACGCTCACACTAGCCGTTAGTTAGTTAGTTTGTTTGTTTGAGACACGGTTTGGCCAAAAAAAAATGGCATCGTTAGCCAAAATGGTGAAAGCAAATTTTCATATAAACAATATTAATCCTCATCTAGGCTAGGCTCATAAGTATTTTCATCGCATGTGCAAAAGTTAAAATCCCAATTTTAACTTTTGGATTGGGTCGTGAGCAGGTTTGCAAAAAACTTATATTAATATTAAAGAAAAAAAAATTTCAATTTATATGTGGTAATTTACTATATTTCTGACGAATTGAAAACGGTATTTAGGTGAACCCAATATTAAATCAATATTTTATTATAATATGCGCCCGCAGTGGCGTAAAGACAAGTCATGGGGTCCAGGGGCAGGAAAATTTTGGGGGTCCCTTGCATATCAGTATAAGTATTTTCGCTAATGTGACTGGGGTGGGTAATCTCCCACAGATAATTGTTAAGGCATAAAATATTATTTAAGAGTTACTGGGTAGATCCTAATATTTACACACATATTTATAATTTGAAATTTGTGTGAAACGTATAAATTAGGTCAATGCATAAACGCTTGCATACGTGCAACTTTCATTAGTGAGAATAGGTTACATGCTCTTAATCATGGATGTATTGATCCATCGAAACTTATGCAAATATAAACAAACACAAACCTATCAACATTATCAAGCCTACCTACCTTTATTAACCCTAAAACACCCTTGTTGATAACATTATTATTATTGGCCAATCACAGGCCAGAAAACTGCAGTTTTAATCAAACTGCAGGTCAAGAATCAAATACGATATATGACACTTCGTAATGCACATAAACCAAAGTGAAAATGATAAAAATATTTATATCAGTAATTAAATCAAGTAAACCTTGATCTTTCATTACTCAGGTGCATGTGTCTGTTTGCAAGGCTTACACAAAGATAACAGAATCGTTAGTAGGCCTAAGTGCAGTGTAAATGCAGAACCAGTATGGTCTTTGGTGGTGGGATGGCCACAACACAAGCGTTACCAGGGGTGTAGGCCCTCCCCCACCCCCCAAAAAAGGGGGGAAGTTCAATAATCAACTACGAAATTCTTTACCACCCATGCTTATGACTATGAGCAAAAATTAATGAATCGCAATGGGGGGGGGGGGACTGCATAAAACTTGTTATGTCAGTCGATTACGACATGAAAATTAAAATAGTAAAAATATCATTTTTTTTGTTAATAATTACCTTACTAATTAATATCAAATACCATCACTTATTTTTACTTTAGCATGCTTCCATCAGTGAGTGGAATGTTATTGTACAAGGTCGTTGTTTTAAAATTTGTGGTTGGCTTATGGATTAATATAGACATGTCATTCATTATTATGAAATAAAAGTGAAATGAACCCCATAAAAGACAAGCAAAAACGTGCAGTGAACTTTTACATTCATTTCTTTACAGTATTTCGGAAATGTATTTATATAGAATAAAAGAAACCCAACAAATTAAGATGAAGAAAACATGAACAATAGAAACAGCTCAGAAAATTTTCTTCTTAAACTTTGACAAAAAACTTTGTTAATGAGATAAAAAGCAATTAATGAGATATAGATTTTTAGAACATATAAAAATTTGCGGAAATATGGAAAAAGGGCCGGGGTAGATGGATAGAATTATCAAATTTTGTATGTCTGAGTCAGTCGATTGTTTACACTATCCAAGATAAGTCATGTGACGTCCATCTCCAAATCCGTCCATTAATAGGTTTAAATGTTATGATTTTTAAAATACATAAAATGACGCCAGGTAGATTATAATTTTTTAAATCATTTTCACAATTTTGTAATCTTTTCAATAATACCAATAACACATGCAATACTAACAATTAGAAAAGAGTACAAATACCCTGGTTACACAAAACTCCTGGTCAATGCTTCATAGAAAATGTTGGGTTGTAGTAGAAGGCCCCTTTCTAATAAATCTGTCAAAAAGTGTGTTTATGGGATTTTGGTCTACAGTAGTTGTTTCTTTTAAATAGAAACGGTTACCGTATAGTCAAGGCATTGTGGTAGAATGTTTGGTAGCAGTTAGTGGGCCCCCTGAGGCCTCTCGGGGGCCCATTTATACTGGGACCCAGAAAGCACATGCGTTACCCTACTGTTCAGGATTGATAGTAAAGGGCTAGCTAGGCACCAGAGTATTTAGGTGAACCCTTATCAAACCAATATTTTATTATATGCCCGCAGTGGCGTAACAAGTCATGGGGCGGTAAAATGTTGGGCCCTGCATATCAGTAAAGTACTTTTGCTAAGTGAAATTTATTTCAGAGGTGCCACAATTATAAAATATCTTACCTCAGCCCTAACCATGTTGGGGCTGAAGTGGGTTAGACCCTCTATCTGTAGAAATTCCTCACACAGACCTCTCTAAGGAGTTCCTTGATTCCACCACTGATAATAGTATTCCAATCAAATAATTTATGTAATAGTACTACCAATGTCGAATAGTGTAAAAAATGAGTATAAAATTTCGGGATTAAAAAATCACTTTGAAATTTACTATCAATTTATAGGGGGTCGAGTCGAGTGTGGAAAATCACACTATGAGCCCCAGGGGAAAAAAAGTTTGTGAAGCGAGGCTGTAGAGCAAAACAACAGAAAGGGGCTACTGTATACAATACACAGAACAGTACTTGAAATGGTAGTCGCTTGTAATGCATCAAAAAGTGAGGCACTATCTAGTAGTATACTCCCACATGTAATGAATTAACCTACATGTAGGCGTGGCACTATAGCAGGTCCGGTAGCTGCCGATCCCGTATATATATAAATATATTTAGCAATATAACAGACAAAACATTAAATGTCATTTTCATGTTTCAAATATCATGTAATATCATGTAATATCGTGTAATATCAGTTTTCACTATTGTGCTGCCAGCTGCCTCCCTATCAAAATTCACCACTGACAAATTCAATGCTATATTCTTGTGATTATCTTATTCATCATCATTATCATCATCATTAAGGTTTATAATGAGTATTAAGAAAGACTCAAGCTAAAAAATAGAATGCACTTAATAAAGAATATTAATTAATTATAATAAATTATTTTCAAGAAACCCATACAATGCAATATTTATTGTGTATCAATACTCAAACTTAAAGCATGTAAAAACACATTCCAACAAACCATTATAAACTGCCTGTCTACAGAC